CTCCTTGTATTCATCGGGAATTATTGTATTCACCGAGGAATTATTTAGTCATCGATCCGTTCAACAAATCAGTTATTCGTATAGCTTTCGTTTCGCGAAATCGAGGTTCAGTACAAATCCCGTTTTCTCAATTCTCTTCTCTCTTTTTTTTTCACCTCCCAACACAGCATATAAATATTTTATTCTGACTTGTTTCTTTTCGTAATTATTGCGAACTATTTCTTTATCGAACTGTTCAATAATTATGTTACAGATAATCATTACATCATTACATGCTTCTTTCATAAAACTATCATGCAACCGACAATAATGTACTGTGATATGTTCGTATTCGACTTTGGAAACGCATCATTTATAGGAATTTAGTTTAATCACGGTTGATCATCTCTCCGAATCATAAATATTAGCGCGAGCGATCGGCTCAAATATGCTGTGTGAGCGTCAGTGAAATTGAATACAAATCAGATGCGCGAATATACTTTTCATTCACGTGATTTCAACGATAAGCCGATCTTTATGCATTTCTGCGCTTTCGAAATAAGCGTATTATCATCACCGCGACTGCATATTTGCCGCGTGAGGAGAGTCCGCAAAACTGATTGACATTTAATCATCATAAATAATTTTTCCGAAATATCTTTATTCACATTCTTGCATATGTATCCTTAGCAGACGAGTTATATTCTATACACGGACGTTTTTCCTAAAGCATTAAAAAATTTAGGTCCAGATATGGAAATAATAATTTTATTTAAAATAACAATCCTGTTTACACGGAAAGAATGGTTTTGCTAAGGTATTTAAAATGTTAGCTAAATGCAGATCTCAAAATAATCTCATTAGACTATAGATATGAAAAGAATTATGTGGAAAATTCTACAAAAAATTTTGGCAGTCCAGCAACTTTAATTCCAAACCTTCTACATCATTATTTTGATATCTACGTTACAGTATTCTAATAAAATTTTTTTAAGATCTGCATTCAGCTAATTTTTTAGATACTCGGCATAAAATCATTTTTCCCATCCGAAGAGTTGGGATCTTCGCTTTAAATACTTTAGGGATACTTTCAAGGTTTGTCTGACCACGTTCGCGAAAGGTAGCACCGCCGGACTACGAACGATTTTGGATATTTGGTGCGAACCATCTGTTCCACGACTGAATTCATCTCTGCTGCAGCGGCACTCGATACGGTCGCCATCAATTCGGAATGGGGCCTGTCAACTTGGAGCGCGAAACAAATATTGGAAATTTTCCATCGCTGAACTTGTCCGCAGTGAATTCCCAGTCGCGTCCAACTGCGTTTGTGCAGACCGACGCTCCCGGTGTGTCGGTCAATGCAATTAATGCGATTACGATGTTCCAGGGACATAATGCGACTGCTGCGCGCGTTCGTGGATTTTCGTACATTGACCTATCTCTCTCGGCCGATCCTCCATTGATTTAATCTAACTAAATAGGTGCAGGATGTATTCGCACGTGCTCGTACTAATTTCCGAATGCGTATGTAATACGCGCATTAGGCGAGATTCGTCCCTTTCACGATCGAAATTAATAATCGGTTATATACTCGCACGTAAATCTGATTCCTCTCCACGGCAAAGCTTTGCATACGAACGCTTGACAGAATCTGTTTCGATAAAATTATCAACGGGATTAACTAATCCATTTTTGCTTGCGATAAGTTCGGTAATTCAAAATCTACAATCAGAGCTTCGTCGACGGCGTATTCTTATTTTCTACGTTAAAGCGATATCTACTGACAAAATGTGATTTTGCAGCATAAAACTTAAGCTTTAAGTCTCCGTAAAAAATCAATCAATAATCGAAAAAAACATTGAACGTGGAGAGAATAATTGACTATGGAGCTTAAAGCTGAAGTTTTTACACCTGAAAAGTCTCATTGGTGCTTAAGATAGAAATATACGTAGGTGTATCTAAGGGGTGGGGCAGAAGAAAGGTTCTAACTTCCTCCCGAAATTTTTTATTTATTTTTTTCATTATAATTATTGGAAATATAACTTTACTTTTGGCTTTGAGTTTTTTGTTGTCACAAAAAAAGGAAATTTTTTTTCCTACCTTCTTCTCCCCCTTTATTTATTATCATGCAAATAATTTCGGGAACTTCCGTTAGTTACATTTTTGACAAAGTATCTGATATATAAGAAAAATTTTCTCAATATTCTTTTAGCAAAAAAACAGAATATACGCTGAGATATTAATGACTACTCCATTCACAATTAATATTTCATTTTTAATTACGTACTGCCTACGCATTCTTCGAAGAAAAAAAATAAATTTACGAAACCTAATATTTTTCTCATTCAAAAAGTGAAGAATGAGAAAAAGACACAAGCTCGAAAATATTCAAAAAATAATTCATTAAGTTACAAAATTACTGTTTATGTAATAACAGAATTGTTCATTCTCTCTCTTCCTCCGGAAAAAAATTCTGGACACGCCCATGAAAATACAGTTTCTAAATAACATCCAATATATTCTCCCATACGAGTAAAAGAACGTGATTTCTCATGATGGCAGAACCTCTTTTGTTCGTGCCAACCACTTGTCGCGTACTATATCGACTGTCATCGTTAAAGATTCGGCAAACCGGACAATTTTCTCGTCTCCCATGGGCGTGTCGCGCCATTGACGGGTGGAAGTCGTGAAAAATCGGCAGCGATAAAGTTCGTTCGAGAAAAGTTTCGAGGTCCCTGGACCGCAGGCGGGCGATACACTAACTGGCCGTAGATACACATTTGGAAGTTTTGCAGTTCGTAACACCGTTCGTTCGCGCCACGTTTCATTCGCAATTTCGCGAACAACATATCACTCCACCATACTCTTCTAGGTCAGGTCAGATCGACACTTTGACACGTATTTAAACGCATGAATCTCTGAGTTACTGCAATAAAACGCAGCAAGACAGTAAGGTAGATATTTTTTTTATTACGTACGTTGAAAAAACTGAGAAAAAGTATCATATGTAATACATTGATATAAGATATTTATTTAACTTTTTGTTACTCAGTATTATTTATTTTCTTTAATTAATTATTGTTATATACCTGTACATGTTATATTAAATTCGATTTTATTGATATTATCAGCTACATTTGTTTTCTATTTTTATGTTAGAATTTTTTTAACAATTTTATT